TCAGGGATCCCTAGGACAGGTGTCAATCCATATCTGCCAAGTGACCCTATGTAAAAAAGGCCTGATGAGATGGGCTGCCTTGGGCTAAAAATGGTCCACACGCTGCTGTATTTTAGCTCTGAATGCCTGTTGACTTGCGTGACTTATCCGCCACCAACTTGGGTTCAAGCAGCCAGTGTGTACTTTATAAATGGCTTTATAAAGCAGTGTGTACTTTATAAATGGCTCCACCTGCCACCCGTACAGCAACACAGTCTCCAGTTAGGAGGACCAACCAAGCATCTTCTTCCATCTGCCTATTACAGAAATTACTGCCGTGTACACGACCACTGATAGGAGACGCGGAAGGTATTAAACTGATCAGAACAATACTAAACACACCACTCCTCTCTGGTGTCACATTAGCTTGACTGCGCAGTGCCCCACATTTGCAGTAAGAGGACCGACCAAGCCTCTTCTTCCATCTCCCTGTTACAAAAATCAATGCCGTGTACACGTCCACTGATAGGAGACGCGGAAGGTATTAAACTGATCAGAACAATACTAAACACACCACTCCTTTTTTGGTGAGGCTTTACAGGACAGAGTGCTTCTCCACGGGACATGTTAACTCACGGGCAGCTGGCTCATCAAGGAACCACAGCAGCTTTCCATGTACAGGTAAGACACGTGCAGCGGTAAGGGTTCAGGCTCTTCTTCCTGGAGGATATGCTGCAAGCCTGTTGAACGAGGTGACCTTGCTCGGGTCCCAGGTGCACGGTTCCTAAAATGGCTGCCATATACACGTCCACTGATAGGAGACGCGGAAGGTATTAAACTGATCAGAACAATACTAAACACACCACAAATAAGGTTTCTCTCCTGTATGGCTCCTCAAATGATGCTTAAGATTAGAAGCGGCTGAAAAGCATTTCTCACACTCGAACAAAAATATATTTTTTAACATTCTCTCCACTTTGAACGAAATGACGTTTGGGAAGAGATTAACATAATTAAACACAGGCAGTAAAAATACAGTTTTTAGCCATACCCTGTAACTTTAAAACTACACATCCCATCTTCATAATTACATATTTGGAATCAGCACACTTAAAACATAAACATAACCAAAAATCAGCCAAATCCATCCAGGGGTTAAAAAGTTAGCTGGAGGTCCCTTTATGACCGACGCAAGCACATTTTCCTGCCCAAAACAGTTCCATAGATTTGGGCTGTGAGGTCGGTCTATTTCAGGCTGAAAAAACGACTAAGTCCCATCGCCGAATGGGACTTAGTCTCTGCAGCTGAAATAAGGCTGAAAAAAACGGCTGAAAAAAAGACTAAGTCCCATCGCCGAATGGGACTTAGTCTCTGCAGCTGAAATAATTTCCCATTTACTGAACCAAGTGGGAAATAGCAAGGCAGGCACAAAGGGTTTGCACCAGGTCTGGGGACACAGGGGACACCGTCTTAAAGGGGCCGTGTCCCCAACAAGTCTGGGGACACGGCCTTAAAGGGGCAGTGTCCCAATCTTCCTGATGTCCCAAAAAAGGTGTTTAAAGGGCCAGCACCAGTCACATAAAGAGTCCATAAGCCCCAATATGCCCACCGACAGTCTTAAAGGGCCATACACACCAAATAAAAGTGCATACATTTTCACAATCTCCCAGGGGCCATAGTCATGCGGGAGGAGGCTGGCAAGTAGGCTTCTCCACAACCCAGGGAAGCAGGGCAATTTGCCATTTAAAGGGCCCGTTACAAATAGCAGTTTGTAACAAGGTGTCAATCCATATCTGCCAAGTGACCCGATGTAGGGGGACCAGTCCCTATTCTGCTCTGTGTCAGTGTGTACCAGGGAACCTTAGGACAGGTGTCAATCCATATCTGCCAAGTGACCCGATGTAGGGGGAACAGTCCCTATTCTGCTCTGTGTCAGTGTGTATCAGGGATCCTTAGGACAGGTGTCAATCCATATCTGCCAAGTGACCCTATGTAGGGGGACCAGTCTCTATTCTGCTCTGTGTCCGTGTGCATCAGGGGCTCTGAGGACAGGTGTCAATCCATATGTCAAGGTGTCAATATGTCATATGTCAGGTGTCAATCCATATTGATTGTGATTTAGGAATGTTAGGTGATTTCTGCCCTTTATGGATTAAAACCAGACTCTGTATCATCTGTGTAATTTTCCATGGGAGTTTTGCCATGGATCCCCCTCCGGCATGCCACAGTCCAGGTGTTAGTCCCCTTGAAACAACTTTTCCATCCCTATTGTGGCCAGAAAGAGTCCCTGTGTGTTTTAAAATTCGCCTCCCCATTGAAGTCAATGGCGTTTCGGGCGGTTCGCCGGTTCGCGAACATTTGCAGAAGTTCGCGTTCGCCGTTCGCGAACCGAAAATTTCGGGTTCGCGACATCACTAATTTTAATTAAGGGGAAAGTTATTATGATTAGATGGTAAGGTAGGTTAAGTAATTGTATAGGTATAGATATACACTATATTTTATAATAATGAATTATGTAAATAATTTATGTAAATAACACCATTAAGTTAATCACCTCACTAGTTTTTGTATATATGATAGGATCACAATCTTTAGCACTTCTATGCATATAAAATAGTAATGTATTACTTTAAATATACAGATTGAGAGACTCCATATTAAAGTAAATGTAAGAAGCACTTTAGTGTATGTAAATAGCACTAGTTTCACTTTACACCATATTGCACTTTATTGTATAAAATCAATAATTGTTAGCACTTTATTGTACATAAATAGCACTATTAGCACTTTGAGTTTATTGAAATGCAATTTATTGTACACTATTTGTATCTGTTACCTTAAATGCATTTAATAGGAACTATATAGTTAGATGTGGAAAAGCTTTACCTTCATAAAATTATGCTTAGGAACCAGATACATAAATAGTTTCTATAAATATAGACAATAATGTTAGTTAGGTCAAGGAACATTAAATGGAATAATAAGAATCCTCTAATTATTATAATACATGTTTAATTTTAAATTCTATGTCTGACTTCTGAGGGAGTTAGATCCCCAGGGCTGAGCGATCAATAGAGAGCGAGTATATCACTTGCTGGGATGCCATGGAGCCAGGTAAATATACCGGGTAAACATAGCAACGGTGATGTCAACACGCTACTTCCGGGTAGCGGTAGATTGACGCATGTGCAGAGATGGCGATAGAACGCCGTGGAAGCGATACAGCCTTCAGGTGGTGAGTGTTTTAATTATTAATTGTATAATTTGTTTTGTTATATAAATGTGTCATTTGTAATGTATATTTTGAGCTGTAAAGATCCTGATGAAAGCCATGTAGTGTGGCCGAAACGTCGCTCAAGTTTTAAGCAATGAAATAAAAGGAAAACCGTTTTAAAGAAACCAAAAGACCGTGAGTGCTTGCCTCTTGTTCCCTATATTTGTATATATATAAAAATTGTTTCATACTTACTGTAATTTTCTTTTCCTGATAATTATTCATGGCAGCATTTACTCATGGGTTAGCTCCTCCCCTCACAGCAGAAAGGACAGGAAATAGAACTTTGAAACTGGTATAAATAGATCCTCCCCCTTCCCATCAGGCAGTCTTTGTAACTAGCTTCACAACTCTTATAATATATTGGTGGGAACATAATGCTGCCATGAATAATTATCAGGAAAAGAAAATTACGGTAAGTATGAAACAATTTTCCTTTTTCCTGACCATTATTCATGTCAGCATTTACTCATGGGGAATACCCAAGCAGTATATATAGAGGGAGAGACAGAGTTCAAAAACAGCTAATAGCTATAAAACCATTATTGAGCTGTATAAATCTTTACTTTACAAAGCCAAACAAGAATCAATAGGAAATTGTCATAAAATCTGCTCAGACAAGACAATGTACCCTAGAGGCTGCAAGGTCAGCAACCACCTGGCATTCAATATCTGAAATATCCTGAATAGATATAGAGTCAGATAGGAATTAAGGCAATGATAGCATAAGCTAGAGAAGGATAATGTCATTCTGATATAAAACAGATTTGATATCATCAAATCAGAACCTCGACAATGGCATAACTTCCAGAGATCATACTGGAACAAGCAGATAATGTTGGATGAGAACGGACACACCATGCTATTAAACACGGGGAGAATTACACTGAGAATCCTACTACTTACTGGATGTATTTATTAAATACGATTCACACTGCTTCCTCTTGCCTTGTTAACTACTTACCTGAAGATACAGGAACAAATCAATATCAGCCTGTCAGAAAGAGGCAGAGCCTAGTAGAGAAATAAGAGTCTGTTATTAAAACACTGCAACAATGACCCGATGTTGCTAAATTCAGATTTACAACAATACCTCACCCAGTGGATGAATTGATACAGCAATGATCAGTCACAGGAGAGGAATAAACTAATAACATTACTAGGCACAGGCAAGAAGAATCATATACAGATTAGTTGAGGGAAAAAAAGAAATATCGGTATGATCCATAGAATTTGTGGCAACTACTAAATTATAAGGAGGCCAACCACATGAGTACCTATATTTGTAAATAGTACAGATTATGCCAAACAGTATAATCAAATTTATTAGAGACTGTTTTGCAACATAAGATTATGATTTTATATATATATATATATATATATATATATATATATATATATGGCAAGATACTGATGGGAAGGTGATAACCAGAGGCACATTATACATTGTGGCAACAGACATAATAAGTAGGATAGTAGAAGATATTCAGTTATCCTTATGAAAACAACAACCGCATACTTACTCTAACCTTATCTTCAGATAGTGAAAAAGTTCTTATGGCAGAGCCTATGGTGATAATAAGCAGCTTGCTATATCTGCAAGATATCAACACCAATCCATACATATAATCCACAAGTATTAAATCAATGCAATGTTAGGAGTGACCATAACTTATACAGATCTAGGTACAGAGATCATGTAAAACATATCAGTCAAATGTTTGTCATCAATACGCTGCATTACATTACATTATGCATGATGAATCAACCATTTAAAGCCACACATTGGTTGTAAATTCCAGATATAAGGACACCTAGAAGAATCCCCATGAATATCAGAAGAGAGGTCCGTAATGGAACTACCTGTTTAGGGATTTCCTCTATTCAGGCAGCAGGTGAATTTTACCTGAAATAGTAAACCTGGTAGAATGGTCTGGGGACTGGAAAGACCTTAAAATACTTGCAATACACAGCATCAAAGTTACCTGAGCATTTGAGCCTAAAAGAATACCTTTATTGCAGAAAGGAAATTATAATATTCCCCTTCACAACAGGGGAATCGGTCAGAAGTTTCTGATCATTAACTCTTTAAGAACCAAAAGCATGCCACTCCTGACATATACTAAAGGGATTGCCAAACTTTCAGGTCCCCAAGGGATGAAAGAGAATATAGAATATAAAATTTATGCTTTAAGGAAATGAATTCAGATTTAAAGACTAAAAGGTTATGACCAGGTGAAAGAAAAAACAATATTAACAGCTTTTAAATCAGGTAATGGCTTCAGCGTTACCTACTTATGAGATCAATTAATACCCCAATTTGTGCTCCTGCAACTAGTATGATCTATTAAGCTGTGCATCAGTAATCAGCATATATCTGAAGGTAAAACACTGTCACCAATTGAAAAAACATTCCCTATCTTGGACAGAGAGGAGAGGATGCCTGGCAATAGAAAAACTTTTGTAGAATGGACTCATGTATAAATACATAGGAGTGCACAAACAAAAAAAATAACATTGATTCTGTTAAACATTACCATGCTTCATTTTGGAAAAACAGGTCTCCTTCTCTCCTGGGAGAGGCACTCAGACAGGTTCAGTAACACCTGCAATCTATCTGAAGTGGTAAAATGTGTTAATTGCTTATCCTGAAACACCTGTGGGAGAAAGAATCTAATACAAAGCCAAAAAGCAGTTCATTTCCTTATCTACTTCATTTAAAAAACTGAAATAGAAAATCAACAGTAGGCAATAATTACTTACCCAGTATAACAGTGCATTTGTATTTGCTAGAATTGGGCAGTGCTACATTTCAGCGCAAAACAGACCTTAGATTATTTGTATATATTAAATCTACCAATGCCGTATATAAATTGGGGTTATCTAATACTACCAACCTGCATACAGATTATATGAATCACCTACATTGTGGATGTTTCTAACAGCACCTTATGCACAGATATATCAGTCACATATTGTCACATCATGCCATGTTCTACGGAGATGTCTGGCTTTGGTTTCTGGTATCCAGTACTCTTTTTACAATTCTTGTTTAGTTTTTTGGGGGTTTCTGGTTCTCTATTCAATGTCTGGTTTTCTTTATGCTGGATTTTTCTGGGTTCATTCCTGTAATCCGTCCCTGGAATTCCCAGTGTCCAGGTTTCCTTTAAATGTTTGTTTTATGTTGCCACACCCATTTGTTTTCCTTTTCTTTCAGTCTGGATCTGCAGCAGTGTTTCAAATCTCTGCCGTTTCTTGCAGGTAAGTGCTATTGTGGTTTAGTATGGTTCTTTTAGCGAACATTAGGCAGTGTAGCACTTGCCGAATATGGGGTACATTGGCGTTGTGGCAGGCTTATGCAATGTATGATCATATGATGTAACTAAATCCCCATACTTTTCATATATATATATATATATATATATATATATTGCTTAGTTATGTCTCCTCTTGTTTTGCGTATCATATCTTGTTTTAGTTTGTATTCCCAGTCCATGTAAGTCCTGTCCTGCCCCTGTTTAGTTAATGTTCCCTTATTGTGTACATGTTCTGGGTTTAGCTTCCTATCCTTCTCTGGTTCTGGGTTCTACTAGTTCTGTCTTGTTTTCATGTTTGGTGACTATCCTAGCCTTGCCTTGTTTCTGTACTGGATACATGTCTGCTGCAGAGCCCCCCTATCCAGTTCCTGGGAGGTCTGCATATCAAGCTCCTAGTTCCTGGGACCCGCTGTAGCTGCATCAGGGTTCTGGTTTGTGGCCGCACAAACGCTGGTGCTAAACACCAGGGGGCGTGTGGTTACCCTGCACCAGGCCCTTATAGTCCATTACCACGCTGAGACTCCCAACTCCACTTCAGACACTCAGGGGTCCCGGTTTCCATACCGCCACCCGTGACACACATACTGAGTCTGTTTAAACAGTAATCATACATAGCCTACCTCTGCTATATACAGTGACACTATGCCTGTACATATATTAAGATTTATATGAGTGAGATAAATTGAGGCTGTGTTTCAACAGAAGTTCATGCACATAATATACCATTCACATATACTGAGGTTGTGACTCACAACCCACACATAGAACCAGTATTAGCTTGGACTCATATAGCGGATGTACTTATATCATTCACATATATTGTGTTTCAACAGAATATAAAAAAGAAGGGCTGCACCAAGCTAAATAAACAGTATTCAGTCCAAATAATGGCAGTGGTATAATAAAAGTCCAACCTAAAAAAGTGTCCTCTCTGTCGTCCTAGGGTACCGGAACAGGATCTTCAGGTATGATATAAAAATAAAAGTTTCTGGCAGTCAAATTCTTAGGTGGGGATTATTCCACCAGCGCTGACACCAAAGAGCAGTTGGACTGCTCTGTACTTGTAAGTACGATTTTATTTCTACCTACAATATACACCTATACAGAGAGCACTATCTGGCTTGTTTCTGTTCTCTTTGAGCTTCTGGATACCACTGAAGAACCGACACTCACCACATATCCCATAAACAGGGATTATACCGCTGTGTGCGCTTTACCCTAGAGCTGGACAGAAGCTCTAATAAATTGTGAGTTTGCTACTATTATTCAAATTTTACTTCACTTGATACATACAATCTGCACTATCGGTTGTTCTCTCCTTTTATTTTTTATATCATACCTGAAGATCCTGTTCCTGTACCCTAGGACGACAGAGAGGACACTTTTTTAGGTTGGACTTTTATTATACCACTGCCATTATTTGGACTGAATACTGTTTATTTAGCTTGGCGCAGCCCTTCTTTTTTATATTCTGGTTTTTTTTTCCTGTATTTTAGGGTTTTGGGGGGATTCCCTTTTTTTGGGTTGCTGCCTAATAGGTTCACTGGCGCTGTCTCTCTCTTCTATTTATATATTGTGTTTCCACTAATACATCAATCATATAGAGAAAATATACACTGAAGCAATGTCTCCACACCATCTTACCTATAGAGCATGTAGAGGACATATACTGAGGCTGTGTTTTCACAGCGACTCAGAACATATAAAGAAAACACACTGAGGCATGGTCTCCAGATCAACTCATACATACACAATATAGTGGGTATATATACTGAGGCTGTGTCCTCATAGTAACTCATACACAGAGCATCTAGTGGATACATATACATAGGCTGTGTCTTCATAGTAACTCATACATAGAGCATATAGTGGATACATATACTGAGGCTGTGTCCTCATTGTAACTCATACATAGAGCCTATAGTGGGTACATATACTGAGGCTGTGTCTTCATAGTAACTCATACATAGAGCCTATAGTGGGTACATATACTGAGGCTGTGTCCTCATAGTAACTCCTATAGAGAGCATATAGAGGATACTTATACTGAGGCCATGTCCTCACAGTAACTCTTACATAGAGCATATAGTGGGGATATATATATATATATATATATATATATATATATATATATATATATATATATATATATATATATATATATATATATATATATACACACACACACTGAGGCCGTGTCCTCATAGTAACTGATACCAAGAGCATATAAGGGATACATATACTCAGGGCCGGCGCTTCCTGTAAGGCGTACTAGGCAGCCGCGCCCCCATCACCGGCCCTTTAAATGCCACAGCCGCCTGAGCGCTCAGACGGCTGCCGCACTGCCTCGCCTCCCCTTCCCTTCCCTGTAGTGTGGCCGAGCTCATCTCCTGAGGTGTGCACTTCCTGTCAGTACGGCCGGGTCGCAGACCGGAGAGGAGCTCGGCCACGCTACAGGGAAGGGGAGGTGAGGAGAAGAAGAAATTACAGGGAGAGAGGGGGGAGAAGGTTACAGGGGGCGGTGGAGAAGATTACAGGGAGGGGGTGGAGTGGAGAAGATTGGGGGTAAGAAGAGAAGATTATGGGGGGGAGAAGATTACAGGGAGGGGGGAGAAGAGATTACAGGGACAGGGGGAGAACAAGTGTAGAACACAGGAAGGGGGGAATAAGAGGAGAACACAGGGGGTTGAGGAGAATGTGGGGGTGGGAGAGACCACTAAAGAAGGGAGGGGGGTGAAGGATGGACCACTAGGGGAGGGTGGGAGGGAGAGAAGAGACCACTAATGGAAAGGGGGGGCAGAGGAGAGCAGAGACCACTAAGGGGGAGATGAGATCTCTAAGGGATGGAAGGGAGAGCTCTATAGGACAGGGGGCAGGACAGGGATCTTTCACACCACGCGCACGCACACACACACACACACACACAATGCATCCCTATACACAGAGAAACACAACATGTTTCCCTTACACACAGAGAAACACACAATGCAACCCTTACACATAAAGACAATGCATCCTTTGCACATATATACAGAAACACACAATGCATCCCTTACACACACATGCAAACACACACTGCTTCTCTTACACACACACACAAACACAATGCATCTCTTCAGGCCCGGACTGGCCATCGGGCACACCGGGCAAATGCCCGGTGGGCCGCGGTGGCCGTGGGGCCGAGGCCGGCAGGGGAGGTCCCAGGATCTCCCCTGCCGGTCTATGCAGGGCCGGCACTATCTGAGCGCCGGCCCCGCTGTTTGCCACGACGGGCCGGTGGGGAGATCAAAGATCTCCCTGACCGGCCCACATGCGGCCGCCGGTGGGGAGGGAGGGAGCCAGCCAGCTAGGCTGGAGAGAGGACCCGGCGGAGCTCTAATTTGCAGCTCCGTCGGGTTCCTCTCGCGAGATCCGGCGCGTTGCCATGGCAACGACCGGATCTCGCGAGAGTGAACTCTAGCCTCACAGGCTAGAGTTCACTCACCCACGAGGACCACCAGGGAACACTGCCTCCCCGCCTGCCATTCCCAGCGTGCCGGTCCCCCCCCTCCCAGGCTAAAGGTAAGAAGGGAGGGGGGGACATAGTGTCTGTTTTTTTATTTTTTTTATTTACCCCCCCCTACACACACACAATAACATTTATACAGCACTCTCACACCCATCACACTCACAGCACTCTCACAGAGCACTTTCTCACAGAGCACTTTCACACCCATCACACTCACAGCACACTCTCACAGAGCACTCACACACACACAGCACTCTCTCATACACAGCACTTTCACACACACAGCACTCTCACACCCATCTCACACAGCACTCTCACACAGCATTCTCACATCCATCACTCACATCCATCACTCTCACACGGCACTCTCACACCCATCACTCTCACACGGCACTCTCACACACATCACTCACACACGGCACTCTCACACACATCACACACACACGGCACTCTCTCACACCACACCCCTCACACACACACATACTGCACCCCTCACATACACACAGAACCCCCCCCAACACACTGCACCACACACATACACAATACTACACACACACACACTACACTCTTAAAGGACCACTCTAGCCACCCAGACCACTTCAGCTTAATGAAGTGGTCTTGGTGCCAGGTCCTTCTAGGGTTAACCCATTGTTTTATAAACATAGCAGTTTCAGAGAAACTGCTATGTTTATCAATGGGTTAAGCCTTCCCCCAAAGCCTCTAGCAGCTGTCTCATTGACAGCCGCTAGAGGTGCTTGCGTGCTTTTCACTGTGAAAATCACAGTGAGAGCACGCAAGCATCCATAGAAAAGCATTATAAATGCTTTCCTATGCGACCGGCTGAATGCGCATGCAGCTCTTGCCGCGCGTGCGCATTTAGCTGACGGGGCGGATCGGAGGAGGAGAGCTCCCTGTCCGGCGCTGGTAAAAGGTACGTTTTTACCCTTTCCCCTTTCCAGAGCCGGGCGGGAGGGGGTCCCTGAGGGTGGGGGCACCCTCAGGGCACTATAGTGCCAGGAAAACGAGTGTTTTCCTGTCACTATAGTGGTCCTTTAACATACACACTCTGGATCCCCTATACACACACTAGATTCCTTGTAAGCAAACACATACTACACCCCTAAACCCCACACACACACACACTATAGCCTGTATGCACACACTTGCTATATCCCCAATACACATTCTCTACAGCCCATAGCCACATATGCATCACGTTACACCACAAACACAACACGACTAAAACCGACCTTATTACACAATACCACACCACGACCAGCTCACTCTACACACAAGCAATACCACAAGCAGGCTCCAAACACATGCACAATACTCTTTCCTGGCCTTTTATCTCCTGGTATCCATTTATAGACACCAGAGACAAGTTGCAAGGAAACACAGTGCAAGCATGTTATAAATTTGCTTGCACTGTGCAGAACAAATACAGGACTTTTTTCTCATGCTAGAGCTCTTCAGTAGAGCTCTGCGCATGGTCTGCCCTGGAAGAGCATTGAACCAACATGCTCACTTTGAGAGGAGGCGTGTTTGTCATTGATGATGACAAAACACACCTCCTCTGCCCCGCCCCCTTTTTAGTGGGCCGCTGTGTTAAAAAAATGCCCGGGCCGAATTTTTCTCCCAGTCCGGCCCTGCATCTCTTACACACACTCAACGCACCCCTTACAGACACACACAATGCATCCCTTACACACACATGCAAACACACACACTGCTTCTCTTACACACACAGAGAAACACAATGCATCTCTTATACACACACACTGCATCCCTTATATACACAGAAACACACTTTGCATCTCTTATGCATACAAACACAGATTCACACAATGCATCCCTTACACACAACAAGAAACACACAATACATCCCTTATACACAAACACTCACTGTTTTCTATCCCTTACACAAAAACACACTGCATCAGCTACACAAACTGGTATCCCTATACACTACATTCCATAAACACACACATTAGATCCTCTACAGTAACACATAACACATCCCCTACACACTCCATTCCCTGTGAGCGAACTCATGGGTGGAACATGTAGGTGGGCCTTATGGGCATACTCACCGTCAGGCCCTGGGGCCCAGACCTTGAGCTATGTAAGAGGCCCCAAAAAAATTGAGCTGCTTCCCATTCTCCCAGAACATTGAATTTTGTGACCACAGTTACAAACAGCCTCCAGATATCCTGTTCTACACAAGACCAGTGGAGCCAGACTGCAGCCAGAGCCCATCACCATCATCATCTGATTGTAAGTAGGCAATCTAGTATATTATTAGTGACACTAATCTCTAATTTACCTCACATTAAATGGACACTATAGTCCCCAGAACCACTGCAGCTTAATGAAGTGGTTCTGGTGTCTATAGTCTGTCTCTGCAGGTTTTTTAATGTAAACACACACTGTGTGCAGCACTGGTGTTAGTTCATATGGGTGGGGCATTGCGATGTCATGGGGGGGGTGGCAAAAATACTTGCACCGGCCCTGCATATACTGAGGCTGTCTCCTCATAGTAACTCATACATACAGCATATACTGGACACACACTGAGACTTCATACCAATTCATACATTAGAGCATATAGTTGATATATACATATACTGAGGCCGTGTCCTCACAGTAACTCATACCTAGAGCATTTACTGGACACACATTGAGACTTCATACATTAGAGCATATAGTGGAAACATACCGATGCTGTACCACCACCAGTTCATGTACAGATACTGAGGCTTAGTGGTCTCCTGTGCAGTACATTCTTCCACTGTCTGCAAAAGCCTGCCTATTTGTGATAATGCACAGATGACCACAATCAATGTCACATACCTTGTGGTACAAGTGTGTGGACTTATAGTTAGGTTTTTAAAACCTGTCATATACATGTGTGTACTTCATTGAGACATCCAAGAAAGTTCTCTTACCTTGGATATTTCTCTGTCTTCAGGCTGTGGAAGTCCAGCAGACTTTATACAGCCAGGATATCCATTATTAGCACTCGTTTTCAAAATGCCTCATTGTATTATCAGCACTCTTTTGCACAATGCCTCCTTGCATTATCAGCACTCGTTTTGCACAGTGCCTCCTTGCATTATCAGCACTCGTTTTGCACAGTGCCTCCTTGCATTATCAGCACTCGTTTTGCACAGTGCCTCCTTGCATTATCAGCACTCGTTTTGCACAGTGCCTCCTTGCATTATCAGCACTCGTTTTGCATTATCAGCACTACTTTGCCCAATGCATACTTGTATTATCAGCACTCTTTTGCACCAAACATCCTTCTAAGCTTACCTAAATGCTCACTACACAAATCTCCCAAATGTGACCTATTTGTTAGAAGGAAGCCTGAAAGAAGAGACCCAGGTGCCTATGCTAGTTTTAATCTAAATTACTAATGCACTTACCTGAACCGGCCTGTGTTTCAGCGGCAAAATGGGGAGTAGCCAGTAGTCACAACGCTATTGGGCCTCATGTATGCAGTGTACCGCTGTCTTCCCCTCAGGGAGAGAGATAGGTTAGACTCCTGATTGCTTAAGGAGGTACCCAGGCTAGCAACTCTTACACAAGTGCTGTTTGCTGGGTCTTCTGGGATAAAGGCTTAGACTCGGCTGAGCCTCATGTATGCACTGGACCGCTGTCATCACTTCCTAGAGAGATAGGTCAGACCCCTGTTTGCTGAAGTAGGTACCCGGGCTGGCAACTCTTACCGGTATGCTGTTTGTTAGGTCTTCAGGGGTAAGAGGCTGAACCCTGGCCTGGCTTCATGTAGACAGTATATCACATACATCCATTAAGGGGGTACCCAAGCTGGCCTGTTGCTGGGTCTTCAGGATAATAGGCTGAACCCTGGCATGCAGTGGACCATTTTCATCCCTTTCAGGGAGAGGTTGGGTCCGACCCCTGGTCATTAAAGGGGGTACCCAAGCTAGCCACTTCATCTTAGTGCGTTTTTCTGGGCCTTCAGGGCTTAGAGGCTGAACCCTGGCAGGGCCTAAAAATTATTGCCTGGTGAGCATAAAAGAAAAAATCTAGGTCTGCATAAGCAGACTCCTTCCAAACTGCTGTGAAGGAAAGGAAAAAGACTGCCTGATGGGAAGGGGGAGGATCTATTTATACCAGTTTCAAAGTTCTATTTCCTGTCCTTTCTGCTGTGAGGGGAGGCGCTAACCCATGAGTAAATGCTGCCATGAATAATGGTCAGGAAATATATACACACTTAGAATAATGTTAATATACCATGAGCTGCACGAGAGGTGCATCCCCTTCCCTGCCACTGAAAGGAAGGCATGGGGAAAGTGCAGGGAACAATGTCCATATTAATTTCCTCTATGCAAATCATAAGCAATCAGATGACAGTACTTGAAACAGCTGACCCTATTCCCCAGCCCAAGGCAGCAAGTCCGGCAGTGGTTACCCCCCGTTGGCAATCTCGCAGAATAGCTCGAGCCCAGTTTCTCCCCTACCCTCCACATCTCACATTGTCACACATGCACAACTGATCCCCACCTACATCAGTAAAGATATCATTGAGGGTGAGGATGTTAATTTAGTCTCTCTACTGATTGATTTGCAGGACATTTTAAAGAATAGGACCTATAACTATGGGGATTTGTCAGGGATCCTTAAAGCCAGGAATCAATCGCCAAGTTCGTACTCGTCTTTGGTCTTTACAGATACATCTGTAAAGATATCTACTGGATATCTACTTACATTAGTTGGTGGATTTAGGGTACAAGTACAGGGGTTTTTCTTTTTATGACTATCACAATTCGTTGTGAGCTAAAGCCACGGCTGCTCTGGCCCAGTTTAACAGTAAAACCGACTGGAGTCGTTTGGATACAAAGCTGTTCTGCAGGCATTTTGCCGGCTCCATATCCACCACTACTTACGCTTCCACCCCTCACCCCACTTGGTGGAATTCTTGGTTTCTGTATTTTCCATTGGTTTTCACACAGGTCTCGTGGCACTTCCATCAGGCCCACTGGAATGCCCCAATTATCAGCCTATTCTGATCCCTTAACTGTAGATGCTCTACTGAACAAATAAGTCCATCTAGGTTTTGTCTTAGGCCCATTTCTCATTCACCTTTTCAGACTTGGCGCACGAATCCCATCAGTGTTTAGACTCACACATTTTCAAATATAAAGGCTTATCATTGATCTTTCGGCTCCTCATTCTTCACACACACCAAACATTAACTCTCTAATTCCTGCATAAGAATTTTCCCTCCATTACGCCACCATCGACTACGCCATCCAGGCCATTTTATACGCAGGTAAGCATGCTTGGCTTAGCAAAACTGACATCTCTAAAGCTTTCAAGCTGCTACCAATTCACTCATCCCTATGGCATATTCACGTTGTTAAGTGGAGGAATAATTCATACTTTTACACTAGACTTACTTTTGGTTCTAGGAGCAGTCCAAAATTGTTCGATATCTTCACAAAAACACTCTGATGGCTGCTTCTCAATGTTGTTCGATGTCCCGCATTCAGTGATTAAGTACCTTGATGACTTTCTCCTGGTAGAAATTGGTACACAGACACCTCATGTATTTTCAACATTACTGCCTGTTTCACCGCATTAGGTATCCCTATTTCACCCGATAAGACTCTTGGCCCCTCCACTAGGTTGGTGTTCCTGGGCATCACCTTGGACACAGTCGTTTTTCAGGCAAGCCTTTCACATTAGTGAAGAAATGGACCATTTCCTGCAGGCTGGTTTATGTACTCGTAGAGAGCTTCAGTTCCTACTGGGGTCACTCAATTTTGCCATGCGAATCATCCAGCAGGGAAGGGATTCATTTCTAGGCTTCTTTGTCTACTTCGCGACTTGTCTGATTATGTGACCAATCTCCTCGGCCTTAGCTGATTTACGAATTTGGCAACATTTTCTTGTTTCTTGAAATGATATTTCTGATTATTTTCACCTGATTCTCACCATCACACTCTCAATCCCCATATTAGACAGGCTTCCATCCAGAACTCCGCTATTCCACAAGCTTGTGATGGACTAGCCAGCCTTCTGTCTCCTGCCCGGTCATGATCATGTTCTGCACACCCTGACATCACAAAACGGATGATGATAGGGCTCTTAAAATTTATCATAGTTTTGCAATGGAATTCCACGTCCAGGAGCATTTCTCCATAGATTCCATGTTAGCTTTTTCTTCTTTTTGCCACCTTCCCCTTAAATTAGCACACAACATAATTAAACTTTATCTCATGAGGAGTCAACATCATGTACTCACCAAGTATCATAGCAATCAAATACCTTTTCTTACCTCCTATCCTATTAAAAGTATATTGCGGGATATAAATAATACAGATAAACCCCCTACTTCATCCAGGTTACCAATTAATGGTCCAGTAGTCCGAGCCCTCTCCAATTTACTGGACACCTAACCATTTGATATTACTACAAATCTAGTCATTGAAACTCCTAGTTAGATAGCTTTCTATGGTTTTTACAGTAGCTAGACAGACATCATCTCTAGATTAAAAATATCTGATATCACTAAACATCATGATCACTATATACTCTCTAGAAACCTCTAAAACAAACCAAATGACTCATCCATGCGCCACCCCACCGAGAACAAGTGGTGCCCAGTTAAAATACTCGATTCCTACTTACTCACATAAGTCATGTCACACACACAATTCACCAATTCTCTCACTGCCAGGTATCTCTCTAACTACTGCCAAGTTCATATTCTACATTAGAACACTTCTCTTAAGATTGGGTTTCAACCTGTCCTCCTTTTCAGGTCAATCATTTAGAATATGGTCAGCTCCAGCCGCTTTCAGCACTGACAATCCAGAACATATCATTAAAAATCCTCTGTTTATAATCAGTACATATCTCATCCCAGAAAGAAATGAGGAAAGCGTTTAAATGTTTGGCCATGTAAATGTGATGCAATAAAGTGTGTTCTTCTTCGATAACTTTTTGCCCTCTTTTATTACAGTCCTACAGGCCCGTACATTGGTTATGGCACACCCCAACCAACTCTGAATTAACCCGATTTATGTATTATTACTAATATGTTTCCAGCCACAAATATAAATATTATATATACATACACACACACACACAAACACACACACGACACATGCAATTCATTTTGTTCCGAATGCAAATTTGGCCAAGTTTCAGACATTCGGATGTTGCCGAATTCCTGAAGTACCGAATTTCGGAATGCCGAACCAAACCGAATTTCCTAAGTGCTTCAGATATCTGAAAAGGGGCTAAACAGGAGAGGGTTGGGGTAGGGTTAGGATAGGGCAACCCTAACATGCCCCAACCCTACACTTACCCCTAACCCTACTCCTAACCTAACCCTACCCTAGACCTACCCTACATTTACCCGAAGTGCCGAATTTCGGAATGCCAAACTGAATATATTTCTCACATGAACATCCCTAATCCATACATACACACGTACAGTGTGTGTGTGTGTGTGTATATATATATATATATACACACACACACAATCCAGAATTCTGGCACTCTTCCCATATAACTTCAAACCAAAATCAGCAAATTAACCAGGGTGCATTCTCAGTGCTCAGATATGCAACCAGAAAAAATGAGAGCACTCAATGGATTTGAAACAAATCTTA